TGCTTCATCAAAGCCCAAAATACTAGACACATCATTGTTTTGCTATTCAATCAAAAATCTCTGGACCTAATCTTACAAAATGTAAATAAAATTGATTTTTGTTTTTTTCCATTTGATTTCAGATTTATCTTCATTAATAAAAATAAAAAATACACACAAAGTAATACATGTATTTAATTACTGAGAAAACTAAATTTTTTAAAAATAGTTTTTAATTATTATTATACACTCATGACTGAAATGCATGTCTAATTTTAAGGGAAACATTTATAAGCAATTAGATTTATCCTATTCTGTAAGAGGCATTTTTGTCTTGTAGTACACAAACACACAAATATACTTACGGAGCTGTATATTCTGGACAAGTGTACTGAGCTGTTGTTTTAGATTTGTACAAAAAATGTCTTAACTCTGGGGCTCCTACAGCTTTTACTGTGTACGCAGATGTGCGGATTGCCGTGTTTATGCCTTCTAAACAATGATGTCTTCTCAATCGCTGAAAGAATAAATAGTGCAAATCAGTACTAACAATGGACTTAATAACATTATTACAATGAACTAAGGCTTAATAAAAATGAAAGAAAAAATCAATAGAGTCTCCAGATTTCAACGTAAATTGGATGATTCTGAACAATCCAGCTGACCAATAAATTAATTGGTGCACTGAATCTCACCTTTTCCCTCAGATATATAAATAATGAGATAAGTCATACCACATACCTTGCAATACCCATACCTTATAGGTTATCCTCATTTTGCAACTTAAACTGAGAACACATGGGAGGTCCTAACCCCTTCATATCAGGGAATGTCATACCTATCACATCGTAACAAATAATCGAACAATTATGTGTTATATCAGACCATGTCACGAGTCCTTTTCCCAGTGGCTAGGATGATGCGTTGAGAGCTACGTCATAAGCCAAATTAAAGCTCTAAAGTGAGGTGAGAGAGACAGGACATATCCCTTAAAGTTCTTATAAGAACACTACTCACATCTACTATCTTCTGCTTTGCCTCTGAGAGTGTGAAGAACTGTTCTCTGTCTACTGTGAGCAACAAGAGACAGGCTTCACAGTCATCTGCCAAATATGATATGTGGCCAAACAGGTATCCACTGGAAGAGAAATGAAAAAAATCAATAAGGCACTAAGCAAAATATGTCATCAGAGAGAGAAAGAGAAAAAGAGAGAGAGAGAGAGAGA